TGTGTGTGTGTGTTTTGTCTGTGTTGGTGGTGTAGTCAACTGCTACTGCTGTTACTGTGTGTTTTATTATGAACTGTGTTTTTTTTTCGTTCTTTTTCTTCTCTTTTCAGTTTCCCGTCACAAGCAGGTATCTGTGTGTATATAACCTCTCAAAAGGAAGGAAAGGGAAGACTTAATAGCTTCCTTCGTCTTTCTCATAATATATATTTAGATATATTTGAATTCATTGGCATATACCTAGGGTATAAAATAGGTTTCGCATTCCCACTTGTTTTTTCTACCCTTTTTCTTTTTATTTCACTCTACAGACACACACTCACACGAATTCTCTATCTTTGTGTGTGTGTGTGTTTTGTGGCCTCTCTCATTAGTGTGGTGTTTCATGCGGCGTCTCCCACACGTGACGGTATCTCTCTCATCGGAAGACAGTGAAAGCGTTCCGCTGCCGTTCTTCGCCGGTGAGTGGTCGGCGTTTGGTCTCTCGAGTATCCCGTCCATTCCCTTCTCGGAGTACTCCCACCCGCCGTACGGCGATCACTCCGTGGGCCTCTCCTCCGCCACAGGCGCCACCCCGCTCTCCCCATATCGTCCACGAGGTTCAGTACCACAAACAACACCAACTCCAACAAGAGCAGCATCAACGGCGATGAGAACAGTGACAACAGCAACGGCTGCTGCAGGCGTTGGCACGGCTGTGAACAGTCGACAACAATCCGGTGGACAGGCGGCGATTAATGATATACCGCGGCACGAGCCTACACCCAGTTCGTCGGGTGCAAGGGGTCCGGGACACGGGCGGGCACAGTCAACAAGAGAAATCGGAACTTTTCAGACAACAGAAGATGGAAATCCATCACAAACCCAAAATATCTTTCCGAATATAAGAGTAACACCTAAACCATTATTTCCAACTCATGAAGAGAAAGATAGCAAGAAAACTGTTAGAGAAACAACACAAGCAACGACTACCACTCAACATTCAGGGGAAGGTGGTGAAACTACTACCAAAAAAGGTCTTCCACTTCTATCAGATAGTGCTTCAAAAAGTATATCTGTTCATAATTCAGGAACAGTTGCAAAAGATTCAGATGGAGAAAAGGGGTCCAATGATGTGGGGAGGAATCCGTTTTTACCATTGACAAATAAACCATTACGACGCGCATCTTTATCGAGAATGCAACCTAAGCGACGCTCTGTGACTACATTTTCCACTGCCGATATGACTAATCCAGCGAAACAGGTAACCAATGACGAAAAGGTTGATATGGAGAATACGGTATCTCACCTGAAATCCTTTGGGTCTAATGTAGCATCACCGCATAGTAACGTTTTAAGTGGAAGTGAGAAATCTATTCATGGTAAAATTCTGGTGACCACTTTCGTAGAGTCTCAAGAAAATACTGCAAAGAATACAACAAATATACCTTCGTCTACTCATACCATGTTAAAGAAAGAGGTAAAATCATTAGCATCTCAGCCTATTATTGTATCAAAAGAAAATAAAAATGAAGACGTTGAACACTCTGTAAATAGAAAACCTAGCCAGAAGACGTATCCCAAAACGAATTTGCCTAAGACGTCAGTAACAATAAAAAACATGCCATCAAAGAGAAATGAAACAGTGAATGTAAACAGCTCAGCATCTAGTGGGGCTCAAAATAATTTAATTGCTCCCTATCGTTCTACTTCTTCTGAACATCTTGTAAAAGTTGTTAGTAATATTACTGACCCAGAATTATTGCTACTTATTCATGATTATGCTTCCACGTATAGTCAAGACCCTAGGTCTTCTGCAATTATGAATGCATGCGATTCAGTACTTAAAAAGATTAAAGAGAATAGCAAAAAGAACAATGATAAGGGTGAAACTATCAAAGACCAACATTTACTTGATGATGAAGATAATATTGAAGATGAATTTGATGATTATAATATTAAGAATTATCCATTTCCGGTAAATCTTTTACGAGGGAAGTATTCTTTTGCTACCCCAACAAAGCAAGGAAAAACGTCAACTGTGTTTAAAACTGGTATGCTGTATAAGATATTAACCGATAAGGGTGAATACTTTTTTTTTAATGATACTCTTCAGTATGTTATGGTGATACGTGTGCCAGTTCGCTTAGTTGGTAATGAGGTTATTAACGAGAAAGCTGTCCTCTCTCCAATGGATAATGGTGAAACAGAGATTACATTGGCAGTCTTACCAGAAGATACCATGTTTCTTATAAAAGGTATTTCTGTACTTCCACGGGTGCGAGCAAAAGGAGTATTCCCACCAGTAGATTTCATAGCTCCATCTGTAAAAGAAACCATGACAGAAGTTGCTTCTGCCATAGAAAAGGTTCGCGCAGCAATGGGAGAGTGGTCTCCTGCAAGGGATCAAAAATCTTTTTTAAGGTGTTGTATGAGTAATAACTTACCTTTTACAGATTTAGACTTTCGTCCATCTGCCTTTTCACTTTTTCGTCCTGGAATAGATATATTTAAAATTCCTCCTCTTACATGGCGAAGACCTCTTGATTACCTTCCAGTTACCGAATTAAGTCAAGTACGTTTATTTCGACAAAATATCTCTTGCCACTTGGTTCGTCAAGGTAATTTGGAAGATCATACCGTTATTGCTGGTATAGCCGCTGTAGCTATGTTTCCTGAACACGTTCGTTGGATGTTTCGACATCCAGTTACTTTTGAAGTTGGTAAACGTGAGCGTGCTGTTGGGGCATACCGAGTGACATTGTGTATTGGGGGTTGGTGGAAAACATTATTGCTAGATGACTATTTTCCAGCATCGCTAAAAGAACCATTATTTGCTCATTGTCCTCAAGATCCTCGTCGTTTGTGGGTATCATTTTTAGAAAAAGCATATGCTAAGACACTTGGATCTTATTCCGCTTTATGTACAGCTGATGCATTAGATGTTCTTACAGATTTTACAGGTTATCCATGTAGATTATTAGATGAATTATGGGCAGCATCAGTGGAAAAACCAGAAGTGTCAAAGTCTCTCTTTAACTATATTAATAGATGTGTTAAACGAGATTTTATTATTATGGTCTATACACCATCACCAAGAGCAACGACAACAAGTTCTGTTGATCTCTCTAAAAAATTATCACTAAGATATATAGGTTCTGCAGAATCTATGCCTCTTTTTTTACCTGGTCATGTTTATTTCATTACTGAAACTCTTTATTTTGACGATTTAGATTTGCGTATGGTACGTTTAAAAAATCCATGGACATGGCGATCATATGGAAAACGTTCCAACGAAAAAACTTGGAAGAAGTCAAAATGGTTTGAACAACCTGAGAATAGCAGCTCTATGGTAGGTGGATCTACTTTATTACAGACAAAGCGTGACTCTTTTTCAAGCTGTAATGATGAACAGCTTGGCACTATGTTGTTAGAGTGGTCTGAGGCATTAACTACCTTTGCAGGAGGTGGTGTTTGCTATACACTATGGGATTGGCATGACTACCGTATAAAGAACTGCTTTCGTAATGGTATTCCTGATGTTGTTTTAGAGGTAACAGTAAAGAAGAGAGTTGAAGCTTTCCTCACACTATCTCAAGAGAGTAATCTACGAAATAGTGATAATCATCGTAAAAATTCAAATAAAAATAATGATGAGGGAAACAATTATGATGCAATACTTCTTTTAGTTTCTCGATATATGACCATGACAAAGACACAATCGGTTGTATGTAAAAGTTCTAATGATTTGGAAGTGTTGAGTGGAAAATTAACGTATCATAATGTACGAGATATTTCCTTAAGATGTTTTTTTGAACCTGCATATAGCCCTTTTTATGTATTTCCACGTGTACATGAAGACTACATACGAAAAGAATCCCCATTTGTTCTTTCACTCATATGTGATACTGAGGTTGGGGGATCTGAGGTTCAGGTACGTTTCTGTCATTTTAATTCATCATGTGAAGTTTTTAAGAATATATTATCATTTAATGTAACACCTGAAATGTTTACACCTACTACGGCCTCTTATCAGAAGCGTGCAACTACGGGTGCACCCTCATTCAAGGGAAACTGTATAAAGAAATGAATATTTTCAATTGTGTGCCATTTTAATTAGAATAATAAAAGAAAGAAAAGTAGAATAAGAAAACAACTGATGTTTTTAATACATCTTTCTTTTTTAGATAAGTACCAATTTATTTGAGAAAGTCTTCCATTCGAAGAAAACAAAAAAAAAATTCTTTTTCCCTCTTTTTTTGGTTTTTTTTTTCTTGACTTTAATTTTATAAACCTTCCACAACCCTTTCTCTTAATATTATGCCCTATGTCTTTTTAGATTATCTGTTTTTGTTTTTCATTGTTTTGTTCTTGGTCTACCTTGAGCGTCCATTGTTTATTCAGAGAAAGTCATATGTATACGTATAGATTAGAACCTCATGTATTTTGTTTTTCTAGAGCGATACACCTATTTTTGTTTTTTTCGTGATATTTCATTGCTTTCTCTTTTTTTTGCCTTTTTTCTATTTCTTCTTCAACTAAACAAATATATATATATATATATATTTATTAAACGATTGAACTATTTCATTCATACTAGTAGAAATTAGGTAGAAACTGACCAAAAAGAAACTATTTTTCTCTCATTAAGATTGTAGATACATCCATTATTATTTTTACTTGAGATTATCTGTCTTTGGTGTGCATTTTTTTGAAGTGAAAAAAAAAAAGAAAAAAGAAAAATAAAATAATAATGCAGTCATTCGGCAGTGGAAGCGAGACGGCATATATGATGCCTATTCCACCCAGAACACCAGTTGATTATGATGATGAACTGCGTTCTGTGTCTGTGGCAACACCTCTTCCAGACCTTTTACCGCGAAACTTTGATGATATTAAACGTATGCGTAAGTTACGAAAAGATGCTGAGAGTGGACAAAAGTATGTTCAACCTCGTCATGATCTGCCAGCACCATATGTGAACGATGAAGAGTGTGATGAGTTTGAAGATGCCACCATTGACACCACTGTGGAGTACCTTTCACACATGAAGCGACAACAAAAGTATGAACTTGATGGACCATCAGTGGAAGGAGAAATATCTCCAATCTTTGATAATGGTATGTTGTATAAGATTGTTACAGAAGATGGTTCCTGGTATTTTTACAATGATACTGAAAAGTATGAGATGCATGTTCGTTTTCGCTTTGGATCCAAATCTGAACTTCAACCTGGTGAAAGGGTTGAAATGTTTGTGAGAAGTAATAAGGAATTGGAGGCCTCTCTCGTTGTCTATCCACATGAAACATTGCGTCTTATATCTGGTAAAGTGAATGGTTTTAAATGTATGGCCAAAGCTGTTGCATTAAGTGATAATAAAAGGAAGGATATATTTTCCAATGATAATGATGCTATTGTACAGACTTTAACTCGCATTGCTGATGACTTGGGTGTCTCTGTAAATAATCTAGAGGAAGGACAAGTCTTGCAGTATTGTGTAGAGAAGGAAATACCATATGTGGACTGTGACTTTCGCCCATGTGATGATTCTATTTACAATCCAGATGAGGATCCATACAAACTTCGTCCTCTTCCTTGGCGTCGTCCGGATGGTTATATTCCAAGTGATCAACTTGCTGAAATACGTCTCTTTCGGCGTACTATTTTACCATCGCAGGTTATTCAAGGTGATCTTGGGGACAGTTACCTTATTTCTGCAATGGCTTGTCTTGCTGAATCACCTAAACGTGTACACGATCTCTTTCGTCATCCTGTCAGTGCAGCACATGGTAAAATTGAACGATCCCTTGGGGCTTATTGGGTAACGATCAATTATAATGGTTGGTGGTGTCCAGTACTTTTGGATGATTTTCTTCCAGCATTTCATGAAGGTCCTGAATTTGCACGCTGTGCTATTGATCTACGTCGTATGTGGGTTGGACTTCTTGAAAAAGCCTATGCGAAGATTCATCATTCTTATTCCAATATTGCTAGTGGTGATCCACTTGAACCACTACAAGATTTCACTGGATTTCCTATTACCCGATTTGATCCTGATTGGGCGGATGCTGTGAATGGTGATGATGCTCTCTTTAAGCGCCTTATTATGTACAATAAGAAGGGTTTTCTCACGATGCTGTACACTCCCCGTAGTGAGACGAATCCCGCCACTGCCTCTACCTCTGCCTTGACGACTACGGAGCAGACGGAGCTTGAGGAGAAGTACAAATCCCTTGGACTTCAGCTGCACTGCGGGTATTGTGTGCTGCGGACGCAGTATGTGGAGGACCTCGATCTCTGCCTGGTGCAGCTGCGCAACCCGTGGGGGACCGGCGAGGAGTGGGACGGGGCGTGGGGGAAGCGCGACAAGCGGTGGGAGAAGTACCCGTCGGTGCGGGCCGCGTGTTTCCCCGACGGCGGCGACCCGACGGAGGCCGACCGCACCTTTTGGATGGCGTGGCCGGACGTCGTCAACACATTCGCCGGCGGCGGTGTCTGCCACGTGAGGAACGGCTGGTACGACTACCGCGTGCGGGGGGAATTCACCGACGGCCATCCCACCGTCGCGCTGGAGATCAACGTGGCCGACACCATCAACGCGTACATTGTCCTCTCGCAGGAGGACGAGCGGGATGATCCGGAGGTGGAGTACGCCGCCATGCTCATCAGCGTCTCCAAACACAATGGGAAGAATGAAAAGATGGACTGCACCAGTAATGTGGATGTCGAACAGCCAGATCGGCAGCTTAAGTTTAACTTTGCAAGAGATGTCGCCCTCCGGTACACGTTTGAACCAGAAGGAAATCCATACTTTGTCGTCCCACGGGTTCACGACTCCGGTATTTCCATGCCCTACGTTATTGGACTCCTACTCGACACCTACGTTGGTAATGGTATTAAGGTGGAGTTTAAGACAATTGATAAGAGCTGCAAACTATTCCAAAATATGCCAAGTTTTTCTGTAAAGGACATGACAAAGGATATCTCTACAGAGTACCAAATACGCAACCCACGTCAACCCACAGAGAGCATGGGGACAGAATTAAAGGATGAACGTCTACGGGAATTTGGTCTCTATGAGGAATAGAAGAAAAAAAAGAAAAGAAAACTACACCACTCTATCGATACTAAAATGGAGGAGTGAAAATAAAACCACACTGTGGAATACCATTGAAATGTGGAGAATATGAAGATGTGTGGAAAGTAAGCAGAAAATGAAGGAAAGATGAATAAAATCAAAGAGAAACAACCAAACAAGAAAAACACAAATTTCAGTACCCACGCTATCCTTCAGTTTGAACGGGATGGCTCTAAAGGATAAACGTAAGGGTGTAGAAGGTAAACTAGCAAATGAAATAACAGTAGAGTTCAATAAGTACCAAAGTAAAGAAATGTGTTCATCTCAAAATACACTTTCTTTCTATGTGCATATAAGGGCATTTGTATCTGTGTTTTTTTTTTTTTTTTGGTGGTGTAGAAATTATTTATTTTTGGATTTTTTTTTCCCAATTCTTTATTTTACTTATCTAGTATCTATGATTGTTTTACTTTTTCTTTTATCCCTGATTATATAGTGGTTTCATTGTGCTAGATTTTTTTCTTTTTTCTTTTTTTTTTGATTTGTGTATGTTTGTTTCCTTTTATTCACGTTTTTTACTCCAAACAAAAAAACAAAAAACAAAAATGACGTGTTATATTGGTTACGCTTGACTTCACAATTTATTAGTGATGTAATGGCTGTATTTATCCATATACACGTAATCTGAAAAAAAGGTTCTATATCATGAGACTATTTTGCTCATGTGTAGTGAAAAGTAAAAAAAAAAAGAAAAATAGTAATGAAAATAATAATAAAAAAGCCAAAGAATAAAAAGAATAGAAGTTTATGAAAGGGAGAGTACATATGTTGTTTTTGCACGTGTGTGCTTTCTTTTCTCTACTTCGATGCTGCAAATATGGGCCCTTTATTATTCCTTCGTTCATATTTATTCATTTTATTTTTGACGTTCCTCTCTCTCTCTTTTGTCTTTCGTTCTGTTTATATATATATATATATATATATATGTATAAACCTTTTCTCTACTTTACATCCCTTAAGTGTACAAGTGGATATAATGACGCCGCAATTGAATTAGTATACACCTTCGGAGGTATATATATATATGTTTGCCATTGAGGGTGATGGAGGTGTGGGGGTACTGAAGTTGAAAACAAAGAGACAATGAAATGAAAATAAAATAAAAAACAAGACAATTATAACACTTTATTTATATCTTTCTTTTTTTTTCACATTGTTTATGTTTTCTCTACTGTGTCGTTTTTTTTTTATTTGTATTCGTTCTCTGCGTGTGTGTGTGTGTGTGTATTTATTTCACTTGTAAGCGATGTCCACTAAATACGTATTCATATTGCTTCAAAGTGTTTAGATTACTTTTCGCAGATGACTCACGTGTGTTTGTCGTCATCGACTTTGTTGTCAAGTGAAGAAGTACCACTAATCCAAATGGTAAACAATTACTCATTAAACAAAACAAGAAAAAAAAAACAGGAAGAAGGATGAAGGAAACTTAATGATTTAGAGTTAAAACTGAATACCATTTATTTTCTTCTGATAACCAGAACTCCACGTTCTTCCTTTGAGATGATTTAGGTTTATTGTTTATCAATGGGAGTTTATTTTTGCTGGTTACCCGTTTCTAACGGTGTTCCAGTTTTTTTTTTTTTGTTTTTTTTGTTTCTTTTTTTCTTTGGTTTAGTTTTCATTTAGTGAGCAGCACTCATCTCTGCGGTAATAATATTTCTCTTGTTATGTCTTTATAGAAGACTGCATATGAACATATATTGGTATACTTTCTGTATACTTTATATACACATATACAGAAGGAGTTATGTTCATTTAAAGTTTATATAATTGGCATTTGTTTTTATTATCATTTCTTCCATCTTTCTTCTCTTTTTTTTTGTTAACCACAGTTAGACGTGTGTTCACCCATACACATATAATAAGGAGATAGATAGAAACCTTTTGACTAGGTTTATAAATATATATATATATATATATATATATATATATATATATGATTACGTATAAAAGTCAATGCGGCGAAAACAGGTCTCTCTAAGAGAAGCATCCCCTCTACAATCTCAAGATAATGTGAAGGATGAGGAGAATCACACATTAGATACAACAGTGAATACATCTACGTATCGTGATAGACTATTAGCCTTCTACAAATATTATGATGAGTCCAAATTGGCAAATGTTGATTCACTGCTGGAGAAGTATGCAGGGAAGGAAGTCCAATTACTTCAAGCTATGGTAGATAAATACGGCCCTGAGCCTCAACCATTAGTTACCAAATCTTCTTCTTCTTCTTTGTCTACATCTAAACCTTTGCAAAATACTTCCAAAGTAACTTCAGTCAGCCGTAATGATTATCATGAAGAGTTACTAAAGTTATTAAAGCAGTACGACCCGTCTAAAGTTGCAATGATAGATCGTCTTCTTGAAAAATACAAAGGAAAAGAAACTTTACTCATTAAGACACTTAAAAAGAAATACAGTGAATATATTCATCATCCTGTAGTAAATGAACCTCCTTCTCATATCTCTATAGATAATGAGGAGAATAATTATGAAAAGCGTTTATCTTCTTTTTTTAGCGTATATGAACCTGAGAAAGTCCCACACATTAAACGTATACTTCGCAGGTATGCAGGAAAAGAAGAAAAGATGATGGCAGCTCTTGTTAGACGTTATGGTCCTGAGCCTTTAGTTCCCTCTGCTGTTTCTCTTTCCAATAATGAAAATGGTGAAAATAATAATAATAATAATAATAATAATAATAATAATAATAATAATAATAATAATATTCAAGAGGACCTAGTACAGTCAATAACGGTAGATTTATCTACTCCATCTCGTGATGCTACTCCTGCTTCCCTTATCTCTACAACTACGGAAACAAAAGAAGAAAACACGTTTCCACCAACAGAGATGAAAGATTGGATGTACACATCAGCAAAAGATTTTATTTCATACTTTTACGCCGAGTGGAATCTTTCACAAGAGCAGCAGTTGGACGCATCTCGCAGACTAAAGGCATTCTTTCACTCTAATGCTAAATACCCTTTCTTTGTAACAGAGAAGACAGTGAAAAATTCTTCTTCTTCTCCTAATAATGATACTACTACTACTACTAATAATAATAATGATACTAGTAATGATAATAGTAAAGATATTAGTAATGATATTGCTGTCTCGCGTGAGAATATTCAAGATCCTCTCACATCTGCTGTAGTTGAAGTACCGCGGGAGTTGCTGCTATTATGGCGTCAGGAAAAACTCACAGAGGCGGAGCGTCTCACGTGGATGCAGCGGAAGCCTATTAACACAAGTATGAAGAAATAAAATAAGATGGCAAATATATATTATTTTTTGAGTTTACTTCTTTGGTGAGTCAATAAAAGCAAAGTATACAAAAACAAATAAGTAGGTATATTTTTTGCTTTATTTATTGAATTGTTTTTTTTTGTTCGTTTCTTTCTGTTGATCCCGCTCCCTCTCCCTTTCTCTTTCTCTTTCTCTTCCTATACTATTACTGTGTATAACCAACAGACATTTTATCACCTTGTGTTCATTTCTTTTCCTTTTTTTTTTTGCAAAGTATAGATAGACGTAAGTAACGAAAAGTTAACGTTTTTTATTTATATACTTATTTTTTACCAAGAGAGACATATGGGAGGTTCATCATCAAAGAACAAGGCAGAAAATACTGCAAAGCCGAAAGATAATAAAACTCCTTCCAATACTCCTGCTAACCCTCCTGTTGCTAAGCGTCCTAAAAAAGAAAAAGTTGCCCAACAAGAAGAAAAAGAAGAAAAAGAAAAAGAAGATGTGGAATTCAAGAAGCGTCTGGAACGTTTTTACGGGTACTACAATCCTACGAAGGTGAGTACAGTGCCAACCATTCTCTCCAAGTGGACGAAAAGTAAAGAAGAACTCATTGAGGAGTTGGTGAAACGTTATGGACCTGAGCCACTTGATAGTAATGATCCTGCAGCAATAACACCATGTGATCATCATACCTCTGCTGAAAGGAGTGGTTTAAATGAAAAATCTCCTGAGGAAATAAATCCAACAATAGAGGCTGTAAACACTGAAACTACTATTCCTTCTTCTTCTTCTGCTGCTGCTGCTGCTGTATATGAAAATGAGAATAATACTATCAATACAACTGCAGAGAATGTGAGGCTGCATTCCTTCAGACGACGGTTAAGTGGTTTTCTTGGAGTTCGTGCCCCGCATCAACTACACACACTGGAAGAGTGTCTGCAGAAGTATGTAGGGAAGGAAGAGGAACTTTTTGACTTTTTGCGGGAGGCCTACGGTGTGGATCCAAGCGAAGATGAGATATGGGCCTATTTTATTCGCCGGCTTGAGGGTTTATACAATTCTTATGCCCCAGAGAAGGTGTCTTCTGCGGAGAGTGAACTCGCTGATCACTACGGTGAGGAAGATGAGTTTCTGCAGTTGATAGCCAACACACTTGGGCCAGATCCTATGCTCGAGTTGCCCGCACACAACACAAACTCTCAACTCTTTGAATACAACAATGCGGAAGTATCCGAACAACAAAAACAACAAGAAGAAAAAGAGGAAAAGAAACAATATGAGATTAAAGAGGGGAAGGATGAATCGGGAATAGATGTCCAGCATCCATTGCCATTACAGGATGAAGTGAAGAGTAACTCTGTACAAGACACTGTTAATCGCGATGGTGAGAATTCCACAGTTAATGCAGAGTGTCTGGTCCATCATGAGAAAGAAGAGGAAGAAGAAGAAAAAGAGAAAAAAGGAAATGTTACAGAAGAAGTAACTAATATGGCCTATGAAGTGCCGTTAAATTCTTTTTTGGAATCATCAAATTCAGCAAAAGATGAAGCTGAAAAGTATCGTCGTATTGTAGAAGATCAGCAGAAGGAATTAGCAGAACTAAATGAAGAAGTTCAACGACTTCGAAATCTATTGAAAGAAGCAGTCGTGGATGTATTAGATCCCTCTCAGCATTTGTCTACAGAAAGGGGACAAAGTTATTCTGACCCATCTTTTTCTATATATAAATCACCCAATCAAGTGGAACACGATCTACAGAAAAAGAAGAATAAGAATAAGAATAAGAGGATGAACTTTATTATGTTGCCAGAAAAACAGTCCTCACAGCTTGTATTTTCTATTCCCCGTACACAGAGTAAGAATACTATGGATAATCTGTTACCACCTCCACCATTATCTCAGGATTTACGTGAGGTTTCTCCAATAATAAAGAGACCTTCCATGTTAAAAGAAGTCTCATTATTTGTTTCACGTCGGTCTTTATTGTCTCCATCAGTCTCCTCAACGAAGCGGGTGAGAACACTTGCTGAAATGCGTTTGGAATATGAACAAGAGTTGGAGGCCATTCGCGCAGCAGAGAGATTATTAGACCCTTACAATATGTCTCATTTTGGAATTACATCTCCAGTAGGAACTAGAGTATAGTAACCAAATGGAGCATCCTATCGAACTTTGTTGTAATACCATCGTCAGTGAAATTCCACACCAACAACCAAAGAACTGTAAAAAAAGAAAAAGAAAGTTCTGTGTATTTCTTTATGTACGCGTGTGTGTGTGTGTTTTTTTTTTAATTATTATTTATTCTATGCCTATAATACTCTTTATGATGTCTAAAAGAAACATGCCATACATAGATGGTGATGTTCAAACACTATTTGTTTTCTTTCTTTTTTTCCATTTATAGCTATTATTATTTTATCAAGGAACCTGTTCAATGTCTACTTTTTCTCTTTTTTTTCACTTTGTTTTTATTTATCTTCTAAAATACTATGAGTATTTCATCTTTGGATTTTATTTCATTAACATTTCTTTTTTTCCCTTTTTGTACTAATATTACTCTCTTCTTTTTCTTTTTCTTCTTCTATTCTCCTATATATATACATATATTGGTAATAGTTTCTTTTTCGCTGCAGATATATAAAATACCAGTATATCTCTCTCAACTACAATGACGAATAACCCTAATATTGCCATGATTGACAATCCAGAGGATGACGGCGTTGAACTCATGGAAGAGATTGATCAGGTTGAAGTACTCAGAAAGGAACCCATTGATATTTCAAAGTCACGCATTCAAATCCTTGATGAGGAAAGAGCAGAACGAGTCGCAAAACGTCGTCAACCAAGTAATCCCATTAAAAAAGCACTTCATCGTATTATTCCTTATGGTGGGATTGTATCATCTGGGTTTAATCTTGCCAGTTCATCCCTTGGTGCCGGTATAATAGCCTTACCCTATGCATTTAATACTTCTGGATTGGTAATGGCTATTATTTACCTTGTGGTAATTGGTCTTTTGACGGTTTATTCTTTTACCCTCCTTGCCATTGCCGGTAAACGTACTGGATTACGCAACTATGAACAAGTTACCCAAGCAATACTTGGTCGTTTTGCTGGATATCTCTTGGCATTCCTGCTTTGGCTTCTTAGCTTTGGTGCGGAAATCTCATACGTTATATCTCTTGGGGATCTTATTGCTGCTTTTGTAAGGAACTCCGATGCCCCTGATTACTGGAAATCTACATCTGGTATTCGTGTACTGAGTACCTGTGTCTGGGCTGTGGGTATGCTACCTCTCTGTCTCCCTAAAGAGATTAACTCACTACGGCATTTATCTTTCGTTGCGGTATTTTTCATTGTATTTTTTGTCATTTGCATTGTGGTTCATTGCGCTCGTTTCGGTTTTGTCAATGGTTTACGGAAAGACTTGGTGTACTTTCAGACTGGAAATCCAGCAATAGAAGGACTTTCTATATTTATTTTTGCCTTTATTTGTCAGCTAAATTGCTATGAAGTCTATGAAGAAATGTACAAACCTGGTGTAAGAAGACTGACGAAGAGTGCCGGAGTTGGTGTGTTTCTCTGTTTCATTCTATACTTCAGCGCTGGACTATTTGGCTATTTGGACTTTGGACCAGCCGTTACGGGATCTGTACTGAAGCAATATAATCCAATTGAAGATAAAATGATGGCTGTGGCTTATGCTGGTATTATACTAAAGCTCTGTGTTGGATATGGTTTACATATGATTCCTGTACGAGATGCTGTTTACCATGTATGCCGTATTGATGTGAAAACGATTGCATGGTGGAAAAATGCGATGATTTGTGGTTTTATGGCTGGATGTTCACTTGTGGCCGGTTTTTTCATTCCTAATGTGAATGTTGTTTTTGGACTTGTTGGTGGCCTTTCCGGTGGATTTATTGGCTTTATTTTTCCATCATTGCTGTTCATGTACACTGGCAACTGGTCACTGCAGTCTGTTGGCTTCTTTCACTACTTTGCCACTTACTTCTTGTTAATTGTTGGAGTCATTGCTGTCGTTTTCGGCACAGCGGCTTCCGTCTATGGTGAAGTACAGAGACACTAAATGTTCCATTCCCTTTTTCTTTTTGTTTTTATAACTTATATCAATTTATATTAATATGATTACTTCCGCTTCCTCATGAATATCTTCTGCTGTTTTGTTGTAGAACTTTTTTTTTACAGCTTCAAATGTTATTTTCTTTTCTTTTTTTTTTTTACTTCATTGTTGAGGGTATCTATTTTGGTTCAATACTTTTTGTATTGTTCCTTATGGTGAGGCTCGTTTTTTTGTGAACAGTAAATAATTCGTGGTGCTGATTATTGTATTTCACGTACCTTCACAATGAATGTCTTTTTTTCTCATTTTTTTTCTTTTGTTTTTCAATTCTGATTTTTTTTTTGTATTGCTGATTTCAGTGCTCCCTCGTGGGCTTTGGTGAATCGTGCAATTTTAATGTCTTTTTTTTGGTGGGACTATTAAGCCATTCACTCATTTTTAATGAGCGTATCTTTTTTTCCCCTTTTTACTACTATTATTATCAAGAATGATAATTTTTTCTTGTAATTAGCTGATTGCTTTGTCTCTTTTATTATTTTATTTCCATATACCTTTATAAACTGTTTAGTTTCCTTGTTGGAATCTCTAATTATTCCCATCTCTTTCTGTATTTGATCTCTTTTTCTTATAACGGTCCATAGCTATAGATATACTGATGTAGAGTATCAAAAAAAGGCATTTAATTTCCTATAAACTAAGGTACCCTATTGGAGATAATAGTAGTTTATAGATGGATGGATGGATACACACACATACGTACACATACACATATACTTACTTACCTAGGTATTGAATACAGAACATGGCAGCAGGTGTTTTCTTGAATAAGTTTGGATGAGTCCCACTGCAGTAAAATGATGTGTGATTTGGCATACATGGAAGAATTCTGTAATATAACTATTTCTTTGTTAATTATACGCTCCTCAGAGAGGGAGAGAGAGACACGTATTATTTTATACTATGCCTTGTATTTCTTCAACTGTGATAAAATATCACTTTCTCTCTAATTGTTCTTCAGTAATTCAATTATGGACATGGTTTGTTTATTTTCTTTGTCAATTGAAATCTCTTTTATGCTTCTCTTATTTGTTACTCCTTTCTTTCTCTCTCTGTCTCTGTCTCTCATGATATTCTTCTCTCTTTTTACATGATTCCTGTGTAGATTTTCTGCGAAACACACGCACACAAACACACACTAAGCAACGTAACTTCTCTAAAATGAACAGAAATCAACCAGTTGAAGACGAAATGGTGTACGGTGAATATGACGTTGATGAGGAACTTTCGGAAGATCTTCAAGACTATGATGAATGCACAAAGGAACCCGTTGATTTGGCCAAACTCCGTATTGCCCAACTGGATGAAGAAAGAGCCGAGCGAGTTGCGAAACGTCGTCAACCAAGTAATCCCATTAAAAGGGCACTTCATCGTATTATTCCTTATGGTGGGATTGTATCATCTGGGTTTAATCTTGCCAGTTCATCCCTTGGCTCTGGTATAATAGCCTTACCCTATGCATTTAATACTTCTGGATTGGCAATGGCTATTATTTACCTTGTCATGGTTGGTCTGTTGACGATTTATTCCTTCCGTATGATGGGCATTGCCGGTAAACGTACTGGATTACGCAACTATGAACAAGTTACGGCGATGATTCTTGGTCGCTTTGCTGGATACTTTCTTGCCTTTGTGATGCTTTTACTAAGCTTTGGTGCGGAAGTATCGTATGTTATCTCTATGGGGGATCTCATTGGTGCTTTTGTTAACAACTCGGATGCTCCTGCGTACTTAAAAACTACATCTGGACGACGAGTTCTCACTGCAGCTGTATGGCTTGTGGCTATGCTGCCACCGTGTCTTCCTAAAGAAGTGAACTCACTACGGCATTTGTCTGTTATTGCAGTACTATGCATTGTTTTCTTTGTTATTTGTATGGTGATTCACTCAGCACGTAATGGCCTGGCTCATGGTCCACGGAAAGATCTGGTGTACTTTCAAACTGGAAATGCAGGGATTGAAGGACTTTCTATATTCACTTTTGCCTTTATTTCTCAAATGAATTGCTATGAAGTCTATGAAGAAATGTACAAACCGGGTGTAAACCGATTAACAAAGAGTGCGGCAGTTGGTGTGTTTCTTGGTTTCTGTCTATACTTCAGCGCTGGACTATTTGGCTATTTGGACTTTGGACCAGCCGTTACGGGATCTGTACTGAAGCAATATAATCCAATTGAAGATAAAATGATGGCTGTGGCTTATGCTGGCATTATATGGAAACTCTGTGTTGGATATGGTTTACATATGATTCCCGTACGAGATGCTGTCTATCACTTTCTCCACATTGACGTTAAAAAACTTGCATGGTGGAAGAATGCGATGATTTGTACCTTCATGGCTACCTGTTCACTTGTGGCCGGTTTTTTCATTCCTAATGTGAATGTTGTGTTTGGACTGGTCGGTGGATTCTGTGGTGGTTTTATGGCCTTTATCATTCCAGCATTACTATACATGTACAGTGGGCATTGGTCACTGCAGTCTGTTGGTTTCTTTAACTACTTTGCCACTTACTTCTTGTTAATTGTTGGAGTGATTGCTGTCGTGTTCGGTACAGCCGCAGCCGTCTATGGTGAAGTACAGAGACACTAAATACGATTACTTTTGTTTTTTTCTGAGTTATTATTATTACTATTTTTCCTACTCTGTGTGTGTTTCCCTTCTGTATGTTACCTCTCTCTTTTTTTGTGTGTTGATTGTCTAACTGTTTTATTTGTCTGGTAAAATTCTATGTGTGATTATTATCACTTTACTTCTTCTATTTTTTCCCCTGATATATATTTTTCTCTTTTGCAGAGTTGAAGTTTTTGCAATGGTCAGATTAATTCCATTTTCGCTGACATTGTTTTTTTTTTTTTACTTCTTCTCTGGGGGAGTTCTTTTTTCTGTTTTCTTTTTGATTTTCCTTTCAAATCTTGTAACCGGTTGTTGTATTGTCTTCGGTACAGACTTAAGCTTTTTTTTTCTAGTTGATTTCTATTACTATTGATTTCATTTCCCCATTCTCTCATTTTTTTATGAACTTTTTGTTTGTTGTATTATTTTTTTTTGTTGTTTTGGGTCTTTATATCATTGTATCTCCTGCGCTAATGATAAGATTGGTGTTTGTTGATCATTATGAGCAAGAATACTTTTTTTAGGTAATGTTTTTTTTAAATATTATGTTTCTTCTGTTTTCTATTATTTCTTTATTGTCGGAAGTGTTGTACTTGAGAGAGTTTCTTTTCTTTTTTTTGTGTCTTTTTGTTTCCCTTCTGCTCTTTGCTGATTATTGTAATGTGACTCATGCACCTTCTTTCCTTCTTTTTATATTTTCATAGGAAAGTTTAATAGTCTATTTAATTAGCACAAGAGGGAGATATGAAATAGAGAGCACGATACTTATATGGATTACATACATGGACAATGCGCTCAAATATATATATATATATATATATTGATAGATAACTGTTTCTTCTGTAGTTATCTGGTTCTTAAGTTCAAGGAATTCTATATACGTCTCTTTTCTTGAAGAGATATTTATTCCCTTTGTACGCAAGTTTCCTTGTAGAAAACCATTGGCCTTTAACCAAATGTATAATGGGTAATATACTTTACCACATACTTTATTTATCTATTTCTTCATGGGGACATTTTATGAACTGATGGTTTCTTTTCTCCTTTCTTTAAATTGGCATATGACTTATTTTGCAATGTACTCTTTTGGTTTCTTATTTATTCTTTCTTTTATTTGTTGGTATCCTTTTAATTTCTATTCTTGACTTTAATTTCCCTTTTTCTTATTACACGATGTACTGTATTGCCTTGATACTCTTTGTCAATACATATATACATATTCCTTCTGTGAACACTTGTTTCCTTTTCTTTTCACACGATAAGTAATAATAAAAAAAAGGTGAAATGACTGTCCTCCCTGCAGATGAGTTATCCCTATCACCACCACAACAACAACAACAGCAAGAAGAACAACAACAACAGAGGAATGAGCCTATCGTGAGTGGTATGATAGACACAGTGACAAACAGCACCAATGATGGATCATCTCTCTGTGAAAAGGAGATGTGCCTCGCGCAGAGACGTATTATGCAACTTGATAAAGAGCGTGAAGAGCGAGTGGCCCGGCGACGTAATCCAGATAATATATTCCTTAAAGCCATTCAATACGTAATGCCCTATGGTGGTATTCTCTCATCTTCTTTTAACTTGGCGAGTTCTACACTTGGTGCTGGTATTGTGGCCCTTCCCGCTGCCTTTCAAATGTCTGGTATTGGGATGAGTACAGTCTATCTTGTGGTGGTGGCTATCATGGTCGTCTACTCATTTGTGCTGCTCACTAAAGTTGGCGAACGGACGGGGCTGCGGAGTTATGAGAAAATCACACGATTGCTGTTGGGACGTGGGGCCGATTACGTGTTGGCTGTTCTCATGTGGCTACTGTGCTTTGGCGGGGATGTCTCGTATGTTATTTCCATGCTGAGAGTCATACGGGGATTTCTTAATAATGCCGAAAGTACACCAGAGTTTTTAAAAACACTTGCTGGTAATCGATTAATTACAAGTGCGGTCTGGCTTGTAGTGATGTTGCCTTTATGCTTGCCAAAGGAAATTAATTCATTAAGGTTTGTATCCACTATTGCCGTGATGTTTATTGTCTTTTTTGTTTTCTGTATTATTCTACACACCGCACAAAATGGTTTTACACACGGTGTACGTGATGATCTCGTATACTTTCAGCATGGAAATTTGGCTATTCAAGGTCTTTCTGTGTACATGTTTGCTTACGTCAATCAAGTGAATTGCTTTGAGGTCTATGAAGAATTATATAAACCATCTGTTAAGCGTATGACGTTAAGTGCACTTTTGGGTACAATACTTTGCTTTGTATTGTACTTTTTGGCTGGTTTATTTGGTTATCTTGAATATGGACCCACTGTGACAGACTCTATTCTGGATATGTACAATCCCATTGAAGATAAAATGATGGGTGTGGCCTATGCAGGAATTATACTAAAACTATGCGTTGGATACGGACTTCATATGATTCCCTGCCGTGATGCTTTATACCATATTATAGGTATAGATGTGAAAACAATTGCCTGGTGGAAGAATTCACTCATATGTGGTACACTGGCCCTTGCATCTTTACTTGCTGGTCTCTTTATTCCACGCATCACTACTGTATTTGGACTGTTGGGATCACTCTGTGGTGGATCTATTGGTTATGTGTTTCCCGCGCTGATGTTTATGTACAGTGGTAATTTTAATGTGCAGTCCGTTGGCTGGGGACATTTCATAGGGACATACGTGCTGCTCTTCTTTGGTATCATTGCTATTGTCTTTGGTACTGGTGCTTCCATATATGGAGAAGTCTTGAACAGCATGTAAGGGAGGATATATATATATATATATATGTGTGTATATAATAAGTATCATAATGCTTTCAGTCTTCACCTTTACTTGATATTGAAGAATAATAAAAAAAAACAGCTATATCTTCAAGTCATTGCCTATTAAGCAATTTTTTTTCTTCACTTTCTTTTTTTTTTCCTCTACCTTTCTCAGAGAATACTTTGTTGTGGTATGTATATAAATATACATATATATACATATATATACATACATTTCTATGTATTCTTTGATAATATCTTTTTTATATGTCTTTTTTTTTATAACAAAATAAGTTATATTTCTGTGCTTCCCATCTGTTATAAGTTTTCATTTGGCTCTGACCGATGTATTGATGTTATATATAAATTTTTCTCTCTTGATTGATTGTGTACACAATTTGTTGTAATGACCTTTTTTTTGTTTTCTCAGGTTTTTTTCTTTTAATTATTTATTTCTCTTTCTCTAATACTTCTACCATCCTTTTAAACTATTTCTGTAATAATGTTCTCTTCTATATGTTCACTTTAAACTCTCTGTTTTCTTTTTCTTTTCTCTTTCTTTTCTTGTTGCGGCGTTCCTGGTGTATGGCTCTGGAAGGTGCTTGATACTGAGGTTACTGTTGAATTTATTTACCAGTGATAGCTCCTGTGAAAATAAGATCTAATAGATTTTCATTTTAGTTTATCTGTACGTTTCCATTATAACAAAATCAACCATCAAAAATTAAAAAAAAAGAAGTATATATATATATATATCATTACTAAAACCAACAACAACAGTGATAATAATAATAATAATAATAATAATAATAATAATAATAATATCTGACCAGCAAACATAAGGTATAGTGACTACTAATATGTCATCATTTTTAGATGACTTGGGGCCGGAAGCGGTTTCGCATCGTCAGGAGGTTGAGGAGGTGAAGAGGCAAATTGGCATCACTCACTCCTACTTTGACTGCTGGGTCTATGGATTCTTAGAAAATAAAAAATTTAATGTGCAAGAGACCGTAAGCAAATTACAGCGTCGTTTTGATATGGAGATTAATGAACTGGCCACTTATGATATCACAGATTCCATGCGGCAGTCCCTTCGCTCTGGTATCATTCAAGTCATTGGTGTAGACAAATTGGGCCGAACGGCATTTTATGTTACCACAAGACGAGATAAACCCACAGCGGCAAAGCGTGAAGAAAGCAAACGTACATTTGATATGATGGTGAGCTATGGAACTCGACTGCGTGAGGATAATAAACGTTGTCAAATGGTGATGCTTATTAATCAAGAAAAGGCAAGTATGTGGAGTAATGTGGATATGAAATTTCAAGCAGATATTGCCCTTCGTATCGCCAAGTTTTATCCTGGAGCTGTGGATAAAATGTATATTTGTAATATGAATCGTACACTTGCGGCAATGGCAAAGCCTGTATTTTCACAACTCCCACCGATTGTATCGGAACGTATTATTATTATTTCTGAGAGTGATAAGAACTCTGGAAAGTTATTTGAATACTTTGACCCTAGTGTTCTTCCTGTAGAACTGGGTGGAAACAATGAATGTGATAATCAAGAACACTGGACTCAACACGCCACTCTCATTGAAGAATATTATGAACAACTCAAACATGCCGTACAGGATCGTGGTCTTTCTGTGAAGGAATGGGAATTGGAGTGTATTCGTCCACAGCGTAAACCAAGTAGACTCATCTCACAACACTCAGAGACACTAATCTCTACACCACTAAAGACGTGTTACTCGGATTCTACACATAGTGATGCGTCTGAGGAAGATGAATCTTACAATGATCCTGAACTGGAGGAATATATAAATCAGTGGAGGACAGTGGTGAATACATTTCCACGAAGTCTTGCTGTGTTTTTTCTTGAAGAACTGCAACGCTGGCGACTTGCTGTAGAAAATGAAGAAAGAGTGGCATGGTATGCTTTATTAGATGAGTACATCTCAGTACGAAAAACAATGGATATGACGCTATTAGATGTAAACCTTGAAGATAAAAGGTGGTATATTAATGTACCTCAACCACTCCGCCCACTCTATCGATTATGTCTTATTAATATTACAATATTGAATGCCATTTACTTTATAGGAGCCCTTATATTTCTTGTAGTGCTTGTAGGTTGTATTCTTGTGACACTTTTTTTTGGTTTTTTTGTACAGTGGAATTATGTCTTTCCACTAGGAGCAACTCTCATGACAGCAGCTGTTCAAGGGGCTACATTATGTTCACGGGCATTAGATATGGTTGTCGCTATAGTTTCCAGAAAAGTCATTCCTCCATTTGAATATATTGGTTCACATTGGGCTAGTACAGTACAAATTGGACTTTTTATGGTATTGGTATGCATACAGTTTATTGTTTTTTGTATTTATGCTGTGCACGAATCTCCATTATATGGACTTAAGGTATCTTTTGCCACTGGTTGGTTAAGTGCTGTTTTTATAATAGCCTTTTACCACGTATTTTCTTTCTTGTTCGATTGTTTCAACACAAGAAAACTATGGAGAAGGGAAAGGAAGACTATATCCTTTCCAATTTTTATTCTATTAAACGTCAATAATGAGGATGATCATATGGATGGATTTTATACCATACGTACTTCTTCATGCATTATTTGTGGTATTCCTTTACTTCTTAGTATGTTACTTGGTACAGGATTTCTTATTAGTCGTATTGTTGGTTTCGCCGTAGCCACATGTTGTGCCTCTATCGTAGCTGCTTTTACTGTTAATTACTACTCTGAAGTGATATCTAATGCATTAACCGCCAATCTATTACGTTTTACTTTATGGATTGCCTGTATGATATGGATATTTGACTGTTATGCCTTTGGATTTATGAACTATAGTAATGTATGGTCTGTTTCTGTCATTTTGTCCTCTTTATTAACGGCAGCATTATTTTTTCTTACATTAAGTTGCCTAAAAAAAGATGAATCCAATTTACTTCTCCGTATATCCGTATTATTACTTTTCCTATTTCTTATCGGTTGCTGGATATCAAGTTTTATTCTAATTGGTTGGAAGATTGGTGTATTTTGTTTTGCTCTTCTAGCTCATATTAGCATCTCCTCCTTTTGCAGTCAATCGGAATTAACAAATATGGGTGGTTTATTTCTTGTCTCTGTCTCTGTGTTTCTACTCTTAATGTCGTGTACACTCCTTGGCTGGTATGGCACTAGTCCACGTATTACTGTTCCACGTAGTATTCCACGCATTATTCCAGATATACCACCTACTCCACTGGAGGAATATCATCAATACCCTGTTTGTAGTTTACGTACAAGTGGTGGGTTTAACATTACAGACTTTGCGCTTCTTACAACACTTGTGAATGCTGCTGGTTCATCTGCCTTTCTGGAGGACTTTACGAATTGGTTTGGTTCTACAGATGTAACGTACACGGGAGTAGTGCTGGAACTGGATTCAGAAGGAGACCCGTGGTATATTCACCAATTTGATTCCATCCAACATAATATTACGGTACTTACTCTACATAATAAGTATGCCTTTTCTTCTATTATGACTTTAACGGCGTGGATAGGATCTATTGCTATTTCCCCATTGGGTATATTTCTTCCAACAGAATGGATTACCACAATTGTATATGTTATTTCATTTATCACACGTATGATAGATTTTTCATGGATTAACATGCATGAAGAAGTAACAGATTACTTAAATACTTTTAAACTTACAGCAACAAGAGAAGTAGTATTGACAGGAAGTGGTATTGCTGGTGGAATTGCCTCTATGGCAGGGGCACTTTCACAGACGCAAACAATTGTTTTTGCTTCTCCTGGTTTACTGCATATAATGCGCTCTATTGGAGTGGAAAAGGAATATTATCACAGTTATGTGCTTGCTGTGGGTGCGGATAATGGTGTCCTTGATGATGTTGGTGGACAAGATGATACAGTAAAACAAAAGTTGAACTGTGATGCCAATTCAATAACTTGTTTCTCTATGGATTATATATCGACTGAGCTCCTGAAAAGCTGTGATACTTTGGGAAGGGGGACTACACATATGATATCGTTGTAGAGATGTCTATCAGAAATATCTGAACATCAAAAAGGAACATTCTTTTACTAATTATGTTTTTTTTTCTCTTTTATTTTTATATTCCTGCGAAGTGATCTGAAATATCTGAAATGTTTTTTTTTTCTTTTTTATTTCGTTTTTTCCCTTCACCCTGTTGTGTGAGAAGGTTTCTTTTTTTTTGTTGTTGTTGTTGCTTTGCTTATACTTTCTTCCTCTTCTCCCTCTTTCTCTTGGTGTTGGGGTATTATTATATATATATATACATATACACAAACAGAGAAATATATAGCTGATGCCTAACGCGACTCTCCTAGATATTGGTGTAAAGGCGTATGAACACCAGGCGGAGGTAGATGAAGTACGACAGCGATTAAACATCAAACATCATTACTTTGACTGTTGGATTTATGGATTCTTGGAAAATAAAAACTATGATGTGGAGGAGACGGTAAAAAAGTTAGAGCGACGTCTTGCTTTTGAGAAAGAACAACTTGCCAATCATACAGTAACTGATTGGATGATGGAGAGTATGCAAAAAGGCATTATGCAAATTATTGGACATGATAGGGAAGGACGTGTGGTATTTTACGTTGTTACCGCACGGGATAAACCCACAGCGGCACGACGTGAAGAAAGTAGAATGAACTTTGATATGATGGTGAGCTATGGAACTCGACTGCGTGAGGATAATAAACGTTGTCAAATGGTGATGCTTATTAATCAAGAAAAGGCAAGTGTGTGGAGTAATGTGGATATGACCTTTCAAGCGGATATTGCCCTTCGTATCGCCAAGTTTTATCCTGGAGCTGTGGATAAAATGTATATTTGTAATATGAATCGTACACTTGCGGCAATGGCAAAACCTATATTTTCACGTCTTCCTGCAATTGTATCGGAACGTATTATTATTATTTCTGAGAGTGATAAGAACTCTGGAAAGTTATTTGAATACTTTGACCCTAGTGTTGTTCCTGTAGCACTTGGTGGAACGAACGGATGTGATCAACAAAATAATTACACTCAGTTCTCTGTAACGATTAAGGAACATTTTGAACAACTCAAACATGCCGTAAAGCATCGTGGTCTTTCTGTGAAGGAATGGGAACTGGAAACACTATTCCCACATGGTCTCCCAGAGGAGAGAGATAGTAGTGCGGATTGTATAGGAACATTAAGAAGTTTGAGATCACCTTCTGCACTTGTTCCTGCTGCCAGTGCGGCTCCTATGGATGATGGTAAAGGGGCTAGTGTTAATATGGATCCAATGTGGAGTGAAACTTCACGTAACTCCGATGGTGCTGTGAATGTAGATTCCGTTGATCTTCTTACATGTGATACCGTAGATGCCCCTTATGTGGCTTCCAAATCTAGGGAGAGGTTAAGGAGTAATACGATGGCAATTTTTTCCGCAGCTGCGGCTTCATCATTTGATGGAAGAAATATTATGGAAGATTTTGTAGATCATTTTTTCTTATTAGAATCTTTTTTTCGTAAAAGTATTGAAGAAGCCTCGCAGCGTGAATGGCTTTCTTTTTTACAACGTGAAGCTCGAGCCAGACATGTTATTCACGAAGCTGAGCAAAATATGGATAAGAATAAATTTATTTTTGGTTTTTTACCTTCTTCTTTACAAATTATTGCAAGAGGCTTTTTATGGATGGTACTTATGGTGATGGCTTTTTATTTTTTTATTGCCACTCTATTTTGTGCTGTTTTTTGTTGTTGTCTTATGGTTGGATTCTTTTTCTCCATGCTGTCGCATCCCCAGAATGTATTTGCATACGGCTGTCCACTTGTAGTGACAAGTTGCCAAGCTTCTATGTTGTGTTCCCGTGGATTTGAACTCACGCGTCGTACTTATAATGGGAAGTTAATTGATGCTTTTTCAGCATTTGGATTTAGAGCTTTACTCATACAGGCATTGGTTTACGTTGCGGCTGTTTTCTCTTTCTTTGTTGTTTTTTGTGTGATGGCAACGAAATATGATGTGTATACTGGAATTCGGTACACTCTGGCAACCGGGTGGATTGTTTCTGTGTTTATTATCTTATTATATCACTTTCTCTACGCCTTTGGTATTGCAAACTTTTTTGGTAATGAGAAAAGTAATCGTCGTAGTTCACTCACAGTGGCGACACTTTACTTTTTTCTTGATATTGATATGGATAACAATGATACGTCGCTGCGTAGAGTAGCCTTGTCGGAATTAACCCTAACATCTTCAACCGTCTTAGCTGCCTTTGCTCTGGGAATAGCCTACTTATTAAATAATACCTACGCATTTCTGGCTGCTAGTGTTATTTTATCTTTTATCTCTCTTTTCCTGTTGGTGATGTTTATTAACTTTGGTCACAGTCCATCTACAGGTGGTCTTATGATTTCTGCTGTACTCTACAGCTGTCTAACGTGGTTAACCATTATCTTTACAAATGGAGCCCACGGCTGGAAAGGGGATTGGGGTATTTCCATAACTGTACTGCTTTGTATTGCATTCATCACAGATGTTATTGTCTTATTATATGTATGGATACCGCTGCGTAATACAATGGCACGACGTTGGATATTTCGCATAGCCTGGTTGTGGATTATCGTACAGCTTCTTTCTACAGTTATTTTAGCTTTTGTACATAATTATCGTCTTGGGTTGTTTACGCTTTTCTTAGGAATTCATCTCCTTTTTTATGGGTTTTGTGTGAATGAAGGATCTTCTGTGTATGGAGTATCCGCTATTGTGATTGGTTTTTGCATTGTATTACTCTTCTGTGTTCTTCAAGGTGGGTTTACATCTCACGCTGTCTACAGTGAACCAGCGAGTATATCATTGTTACCTAACTATACCACCACCACAATAACTTCAACAACAATAATGAGAACAACTGTGGTAAATGCAATAAGTAATATTCCATCTAATTCTGTAATTCCAGTTCCACCAGTATGTTTGGCACGTTATTCGAATGAGATAGATATTGTGGGTATGTCTCTTCTAGCCAAATTATCGGATGCGATTTCATTAGATACAACATTAGTAGATCTTCACAAATGGTTTCCATTATTTACCTATGTTAGAAATTTTACCTTTTCATCCCCATCTTTTCTACAGTCGAAAGTTTTTTCTTACACTGGAACGGATTACAATACAACAGTCATTACGGTTGGTAGTACATCTGAAGTAATTGCAGTTATGGAATCCACGGTAGTATGGGTTAATCTTTTAATGGTCTCATTGTTTTCCTTTTTTACTCCACCTTCATGGTTTACATGGATTGCCATGCATCTCATCTCTCCATATGGACTTTCATCACTATTGTGGTCTTCATCATTACAAGAGGCTCAAGAAGATATTAACACTTATATCAATACTATTATTAATAATGAAAATAATAATAGTGTATATTTGGTTGGTCATAGCCTTCCTGGTGCAGCTGCATTGTATTTGGCTGCAACCTCACCTTATAAAGTGTATGGAATTGGATTTGTAGCACCTGTAGAGGCTATTGCTTGGAGTAGTCATCAGAAACTTTCAAACACTATACTCTCAAACCGGGTTTTTTCTGTTGTACCATCCTCTTCAGCGTTAATATTACGATGGCCGTGGGGTGCTGTAACAGAAACAGTACCTTGTGAAGATACACCTCATATTTGTGATAGAATAGACACCGTTGCGGAGTTGCTTTATCAACTTTGCAATAGTGGAAAAGAAACTATTATGTAGAGAGATATTTTATGTTGTGTAGGTATTCACTAGAAAGAAGGATGTGCTTTTCACGGAGTGTTTGAATGATTAATCGTGCAAGTTGTATTTATAGTTGTGTAGCAAGTGAATATGTTTCTTATTCACATCCATGTTTCTGTGTGGTTGTAGTGGTGATTTTATTATGTTTTTCTCTCTCTTTTTGTTCTGCTTTGATTCTCTTTTTTTTTTTCTTTTTTTTTTTTTCTGATACTCTGATGAAGTGATTAGTAGGTGATTGAGTGAATCACAAATTAAGTGTCTCTGCGTGCATAACAAGGAAAAACAAATAGATAAACAAACAAATAAACACAACCCCGTAGAGTGTGTTATTTCTCACGCATTAGTTCTTTTAGGTCTTTTTTTTTCCAGTTATTCTTCATATTTACTATTCTTCTTATTATTATTCTTGTTATTATTATTATTTCCCTTTTATCTTTTATTATTATTATTGTTATTATTATTATTATTATTATTATTATTATTATTATTATTCTTGTGTTGTTAGTACTTCATCATGCAGGACGACCATACACCAGATAGATGGGTCATTCGAAGCAGAGGCGGACAAAACCCCTTAACCAATATGAATGAATCAACACCTAATGGTGCTCACAATGTTAACAGTGTGGAGGATACTGTTCATACCCATGGGGATTCTAATGTTCGTAAAATGATTTCTTCCTCTTCATCTCCTTTAGCTCAACAGCTGTTAACCACAGATGTCAATTCCCCAAGGAAGGGACGAAATGCACAGGGTGGGAAATCTAATGAAGCACCATCTCTACAACTCCTCACACGCAACTTGGACTCTTTATCACGTGAGTTTGAGCAACTCACCGCTCGCGGTAGAGCGAGTTCTCACTCATTGGCTCGCGAGGAGCCGCAAATGCCACAAATACAATTGCCCAGACTTCGCATTTCCTCCGCATCTCATCTACGCTCGACTCAAACAGCCGCTCTGTCATCACGTCCTCAGTTTTCACCAACGTCTGTACGTGTGCAGACTGCGAAAACATTGTTTCGGAAACAACGTCCTTTAGACGAATCGCCTGTGCCCTTCTCTGCGGGTGCCTCCCCCTCTGCTGGACCAGTGCGATCTCCTCTACGAACACCAAAAACAAGATCAGCAAGGAAAGTAGCAACAAAACCACCAACAACAATAACAACACCAGCAGCTGTAGTAGCAGCAGCAAAACCAGTAGAAGTAGGAGTAGAAGAATCAGCAGCCTCTGTTGGATGTGAGGATGGGCGTGATACCTCTCCGCTGCGGCGTCATGTGTGTTCTCCTGGCCGCAATCGCGATGGTCGTATTCGCGTGGCGGTTCGCAAGCGGCCGCTGCTGCCCGGTGATGTTGGCGTTGACTGCGTGAAGATTGCTCATCCGCATGTGCATGTGTCCGTGACGAAGCAGCGTGTGGATCTCAGCGACTATGAAAATGTGAATGACTTTACATTTGATAGTGCCTTTGATGCGGGTCAAACGAATGCCGATGTATTCCATGAAGTGTGTGTGGATCTTCTGGATGTTGTGCTTGCGGGTGGTAGTGCATCCTGCTTTGCGTATGGACAGACGGGTAGTGGCAAGACACATACAATGATGGGCGGCAACGGCGAGTCGGGGCTCTGCGCTATTGCTGCCGCCGAACTGTTTGCACGTGTGAATAGCAATACACATGTGGTGTGTGCTGCCTTGTATGAGATTTACCGCAATGCCTTGTTTGATCTTCTCAACGACCGCGCCCCTGTTGTATTGCGGGAGAGTTACAACAGACGTATGCATGTCTGCGGCCTCACGTGGCACTTTGTGGAGTCGGCGCAGGCGTTGAATGAACTCATCCGCAGTGGCACCGAGCAACGCAGTACGGGGAGCACAAGTGCGAATGAACACTCCAGTCGATCACACGCCGTACTCGCCATTCGCCTATGTAGACGCCCCAAGAACAATAATAATACTACTAAAATATCTATTACAGGTCGTAGTAGTAGTAGTCCTACTCGTAATTCTAGTAGTAATGGAAATGCCCCTGAGGAAAAGGGAGAAGAGAGTGATATGCCTGTTTCTCCTTCTCTGGATGCGGCAGCGGCGGCTGTTGAGGCGGGCGGTGGTGGGGCGTTAAATTTCGTCGATCTCGCCGGCAGCGAGCGGGCCGCTGATACCGCAATGCATGATCGGCAGACACGACATGAAGGGGCAGAGATCAACAAGTCACTACTCGCATTAAAGGAATGTATACGGGCACTTGATGAGAAGAAACGCCATGTGCCATTTAGAGGATCGAAATTAACCGAAATATTGCGAGATAGTTTTACTGGAAATAGTCGTACATTGATGATTGCAAATATTTCTGGATCTTCATGCGATTATGAACATACATTGAATACACTGCGATACGCATTTCGTGTAAAGGGTCTTAGCATTGAATCTGTTGTGCCGAGTAAGGCACGTAATGCTCCACGAATATTTCGTCCACTCCCAGGAGATATTTTACACCAGCAGAAACTTCAACAACAACAACAACAAAATAATAATAATAGTATGAATAATACTATGAGTATAACGGAAGTGGATGCCATATTGCGAAGGCCACGTCCACGTTCAGTTGCAGCTAAACAACGACGTGCTCAAAGTGGTCCACCTGGTGGTAACACTCGATGTCGCACACCCGCAGGAAATACAATGATAAGAAAGAATAATAATAATGGTATTAATAAGAAAATTAACTTTGAAAATGGTATTAGCAACAAAAACAACAACAGTAGCATCAGTAACTTAAATGGTGGTCCGTCTAACACTATAGTATATGAAAAAGTGGAAGAAAACTTTCAAAAGACAAAATCTAGCTGCTTGATTGGTAGCCCATCTAACGCATCCATCATCTCTAGTACATCCTCTTCTGGTTTCTTGCGTGTGGCTTCTTCCGAAAAGAAGTTGCGTCCCAGAAAAGAGCCGATCATTGATGTAAATGAGAGTGAGATAGATCGATTGAAAGATGAAATGCATGCCAATCTAACACTTGCATTGCGCAAACAAAATGAACTTATTAAGAAACTTAGTCAAGAGAATGCCGCCCTACGTGTTTCAGTCAAGATTTTAAAACAAAGAGTAAAGGAATGCCCTAATTGTGGATGGAAGTTAGAACAACAATAGCCAATAAGGACAGCAGTAAAATTTATTCTTGTAGAATAAAGCATATGTATATTTATATATGTATATGGAATTTGTTTCTGTTCCTTCTTTTTTTTTTAATTTTTCGGCACGTTATATCTTGCTTTCTTCGTTCAATGGGTATTTAAAATTCCTTTTTCGTTTTAGTTGTTATTATATTAAATTGTATGTTTTTCTTTGTTTTTTGGTTTACGCGATAAGAGCAAGAGTGAGATGTATGGCTTTGTTTCTTACCCATATACATAGGAAAAAAGAGAAAATTGTAGAAATAATGAAATGTGGACAAAAAGAAAAAAAACGTTCCCCTTTTCTTTTGATTTTTCTTTTTTTTTCCATATGATGGGTTCATAGTAATTTGTATGCGAGGTTTGTGTATGATAGACTTCATAATGATTGCTGGTAATGTAGTACCTACTTGGATTCATACATTAACTGGCCCGTGGAAATGATATTCTTGTCTTTTTTTTCTTTCTCTTTTAGTCCGTACAGGTTGATTTCATTTTGACGGTCTAACTCTTCATTCCTTGATGTTGCTCGTTTAATATGCAATATGAATTTATTTCTCAGTGATAACAACTCCAAAAAATGGTTTCTTTCACTACGGTTACTATTTACATTGATTTTATAGTGGAGTTTTCTTTACATTGCTTGTGTTTCTCATTTTTTTGATTAACTGAGTGTAGTTACTCTATTATAAGACTAAACCATTTTATTGATATATTTTTCTTTTCTTTTTTTTATGATTATCTATGTGTATATTTATATCTCTATGTCTTAAAAAAAAAAAAAAAAAAAACTCTTTTTAAAGTTGTACACAGAATTTGATTTTCGTCTTAGAAAGAGGAACGACTAAGGTCTATGAAAAGCAAATATAAACAATAACAAAAAATAAAAAGAATTATTGTTTTTCATACACTTTTTCTATAGTGTTCTTCTGTGTTTTTTTTTTAATTCTTCTGATGTTAGATTTAAAATCGTAACCAGAGGCATAACCATATACGTACAAACCTTTATATTTTCACTATCTATCCCTCTCTCGATCTTTTTTGTAGACACATCGACTTCATTATATATATATATATAATGGTCTTGTTCTTCTTTTTGATTTATTGTATTCTCTCTCTTTGTATCTATTTATTCCTTTTTACTCTTATGATATATATATATATATATATATATCATGCCTACTTTATTATTAATCACATTTTATCAATTATTATCCTCTACGTACATGTTTGCTCTTTTATTATCTTCCCTTTTTCTTTGCTTGCTTTCCTCTCTTTTACTACAGCCTCATTTTTGTAGAGTTTCCCACTTTCCATGCATACCAATAGCGATAACAACAGCACCCTGAGCAAAGATGAATGGCTGCTCGCACTGCAGGTGTTCCTCAACGCCCGCCTGCGCACACCCCCACAGCACAGCAGCACACGTAGTCGCACACACACCGCCGTGCCGCTGCCGCTGCCAAACACACAACATCTCATTGATGGTGTGATGTGGAGTCTGCGGGATAACAGGCAGTGGACCGCAGACGCGTGGCTTACCGTGCAGAGTCATCTGCAGAGCTGTGCACAGCGATATGCGCAACTCGCGGAACGTCTCTCCCGACAACATACACGCGATCCTCCCGCTACTACTGCCGCCGCTGAAGGATCCACGGCGGGCGTAGCGGCTGAAATGATGGAGTCTGAGCGGCTGTACGCCTGCCATGCGTGCGTGCAGGACATTTACATTTCCTTCTGCGTGGTGGATGCGTTTCTGCGGCACACCGGCGGGGCGGCGCGGGAGGCAGCGGAGGTCGAACTCCCACGACTCGTCGCCGCGTACTTCCCGATTTGGGAATCCCCATCTCAACAACCCCCAGCACTGCAGGATGCGGTGGAGGAGTACCGACTGCGGCTGCTGGATCTCTTGCGCTCGTGGAGTGTGACTCGGCTTCTACGTGCAGATACACACAGGCGTATTGAGGAACATCTGCGACACAAGTTGAAGTCTATTCGCGAGAGTCTTGAGAAGAATGAGGAAGATGGCAGTAATGATAAAAGAGAGGAACAAAATAGACGTTCCATCACAGCTGGACTTCGAGTTCTTTTGGCGAGTGCTGATGCATCTAAGCCGTCATTTACTAGATCATTTAAATCATCTTCTTCATCAGCCGTATTGGCTTCTTCCAATGTTGATATTGTACGCACAACAATTTCAAGTTTCCTATCCGCTATATTTCCTTCTCACCGATCAGAAGCTGGTAAACATCGTTGTGGTCACTGTGGAGCGATATTTAAAAGTATTGCTGCAAAGAATACGCATTACCGATATCATTTCTATAACCGTAGCTATCAAACAGAGGAGAAAATTGTGAGACTCCTATATCCTAGTGTTAATGATTATATTGAACATCAGGTGGACTATAGAGAGACAGGAAATTTTGTTCGAACATCAGAAAACATGCTGGATGTATTTCGTATTCCTGAAAAAGGTACTGTTCGTGTACGGAAAGAGAAGCAACAGCAACAGAAAGAAGAAGATAAAGTAAGAAAAAAGACAAAACTTTCATAGATGGATGGAATTAAACGTTTTTTTTTTTTCATGTTCAGCTTATTTCTTTTTGTTGTTGTTCTTGTGTATGCGTATAAAAATTTATATTCTAAATTTCTTTCAACTTAACAGTTTTTTTTTTCATTCCTTTCCATGTACTAAACTCATTGTTCCTATTTTTTTTTGTCAATTCTACATTGAATTTGTACATACTGTGCTTTTCTCCTTATTTTTTTTCTTCTTTACTTTGGTAATTGTTGTTTCTGTGGTGTCTAGTAACCCCTTAACACCTTTCACTAACGGAAGTATTAATAAACGTGTATTCACTACGTCTGAAGATTGTATGTGGCCTACTGTTGTCTGTCAGCGAAGTGCCCTGGCGGTACTTGGGCTGCGGGAGAATACACCGTACACGGAAGCGGAACTGAAAAGTGCCTTTCGTCTGCAGGCAAAAACACTACACCCCGATGCTGGCGGCAGTGCAGAGCGATTCCGCGAACTCCACGATGCCTACGCCTCACTGTTAAAGAATATGAACAAGAATGATCATCATAACAATCTCAATGGAAATGGGAATAGTAGTAAATGGAAAAAGGAAACGGCGTCTGATGCAAATGAGTACTCTAGTGAAACCAGTGAGGGAGGGGCATTTTATAATAATGCTCATTCTCGTTGGTCTACACATCAACAGGCAGAGTACGGTGGTTTGGGTTCGGCTTTTGCACGTAATGATACCTATGGTGGCACCTATGCAAACAACTCTACCCGTGACTTTTATCGTCCATACACATCTCATCCATTTGCACATGGATTTACAGCTGAGGAGGTGTTGGAGGCGGAGCGTTTAAATCGCCTTCGTGTCGCACGTGTAATATTTAAACATGGTATTCTATGGAGTGGAATTGTGTACTTTTTATTTCTCTACTTCCGTGAGAATAGGATTCACCGGGCTATTGAGGCGCGAAACAAGGGCTATCTAGATGAGTCTTATTGGCAGAAACAGCAGGAGGATCATCGTCGTGGGCTGTCGTATTCACCCAAACCACACTGGACAGAGACAACGAGTGAAGATTTTATGCAAACATGTGATAAAGACATGGAAAGAAAGAAAAGAGCAAGTCAATCACTCTTTCTTGGTGGGACTTCTAGTTTATATGCAATGCGACCAGTGGCAATTAGTTTTCAAGGACGCCCATTTACAGCAACAGGTGTACGTGGTGATCGTAGTGGTGTACCAAAGAAGGCTAATACCTACGAAGATGATACACATTACGAACCAGATGACATGATGGAAAATTAAGAACAAGTGAAATTTCATTAATAATTTGTTTGTTCTATTGATAGTTAAATTAAAACTAGAGGCGTAGTTTTTTTTTAATTTTATTTCTTTTTTTTAGTGTTGCTTAACAATTTGTACGGTTTAATATTTTTTTTAGTGGTCGTTTATTGCTTTTTTTCTTATTCCATTTAGTGAAAGGAGTTAGTTCTATATTTAATGTTGTAAACTTTTGCTATAGTTATCCCTTTCTTTGGGTTGACGTCATGAGTGATCAATTTCATTTTTTTATTTTATTTTCGCTAATTATTATTTCTCGCCATTTTTTTTTCGTTCTTTTACCGGATGATTACTCTTTATCACTTCTCCTCTTTTTATGTTTGTTTTGTTTTTGTGTTTGAGAAATTAAGCAAACGTAAGCCCATTTTTTTTTTCTAGTTTTGAGAGTATATATACTTACCACCACTGTGCCGACAGGGAAAACCAATAACACGAAGGACGACTCTTACTAATACGGATTGGAACCGCAGCAGAGGGAAGTATTTCATTTAATCGCAGAGAAAACATGAGTAAAAAGATTGAAGCGCAGATTAAGCGATTCATACAAAACAATGCGACACCACCCGACACTGCAGCCAGTAAAGAGAAATGGTCCGCCACGGAGGGCGGCAATGTTCTCAGTTGGCTCCAACAGCGGGCACCGCAGCAGCCATCACGGGGAGCCATTGACTATCTTAGCAAAGTGCAGTTAAATGAGAAGACAGATGCGCAGAAACAGGCATCACTGCCTAAGCCACGCTCACAGCAGCAACAAGAACAACAGCACGAACTATCTCAACAACCACAACAACCATCTCAACCACAACAACCACAACAACAACAGCAAACAACAAATACGACGGCTGTTCGGAAGCTTGCACAGCTTTTCCCAGGAGCACAGGGAGCATTAATGAATGCCCCTCGGGTGAAAGTGGGTGATGCAGTCATAGTTATGGATAATACAAAAACTGTAATGAGTGAGCCACAGCAGCCACAACTGCAGGATCAACAACAACAGCAACAACGTCCCACAGAAACTGTAGCTCTACCGCGCTCTCACCGAGGTCGTAACAGACGTGAGACGAAGGAAGAGCGATTAAAACGTCGTTTTGAAAAAATGACCGAAGAAGCTCAAAAACGACATGAAGAAGCCCTTCGAACTGATCCTGAGTATAAGAAGAAGTACCAAACTTTTCAAGAATTACAAGCAGCACAACAAGCAGCACAGGGAAATTTTCTGGAACGTTATGCTCGTCAAGAGCATATAAACCTCAGTACTTCAGTGAGTGAACGTCTTGATATTCCTGTCATTCTTGATCTTATTGAACAACATGATGTTGTCTTTATTTGTACAGATACAGGTAGTGGAAAGAGTACATCTATTCCCAAGGCACTTTTGGAACTTTCTAATGACACACGTGTTGTTAGCACACAACCTAGGCGTACTGCTACCGTTTCTATTGCCTCTAGAGTTGCTGCATTACGCCGTGAGAATGTAGGTGAGGATGTTGGGTATTGGATCCGCGGTGACAAGCGCGGCGACGACCAAACACGCTTGTGGTACATGACAAGTTACACATTACTTCTTTATCTTCTCAATAACCCATTACAACCTCCTTTTACACATATTGTGCTGGATGAGTTTCATGAACGACAACCGGATATTGAGGTAACTGTTGCATTGTTACGATTGTGTCTACTACGGCGTACCGCGAATTTTAAACTTATTTTAATGAGTGCTACTCTTAATACAGAAGACTGGGAACAGTACTTTACTGGTTTAAAGGTTGCTACATATAAGCAAAGTGAACCAGAACATCCAATTCATGATTACTTTATGGAAGATGTCTGTGCACTTATTGGAGCAGAGTATAATGAATCACCAAATGTAGTGGATCGCGGTGTTGACTTTCCTTTACTAGAGAAACATATGTTTATTGCGCAAAACCTTATTTCATACCTTAATATGTATGCAGATCCTCAGCATGCAATTCTTGTTTTTTTACCAGGACGTGCGCAAGTTGAACAATTACAACTATGGCTTGAGTCTAATATGCGTAAACCCATGGATATTGTGGCATGGCATAGTGCTGTTGATCTTGCCGTTATTGAGGAAGCTATTGGTCGACGATTGCCATTTCAACAGAAAATTTATCTTGCAACAGACATTGCAGAAGTATCTATAACACTTCCTGATGTTGTTTTTGTAATTGATCTTGTATTAGTAAAACGTCCAAAGATTAACAAGGATGATCCAGCTACCGTATTACACCCACCTCTTCTTACACAATGGATTTCAAAAGGTAGTGTAGCACAAAGACGTGGACGTATTGGTCGTGTACAACAAGGATTTTATTTTTGTCTGTTACCATCTTCTTCTGTTGGGCGTTTACCTGACCATGCTGATCCACCTATTGAAAATTCTCGCATTGATGAACTTTCTCTACATTGTCTTCAGTTGGTCTCTAACCCAGTTGCTATATTCAGTATTTGTCACGGACAACCACTAATTGAGACTATTACTCTCTCTATGGATACACTCTCACAATTGGGTTGTATTGTTAATAGTAAAGATCCTCATGCGGCTGGAGAACGTATTGAAGAAATACATTCAAACAGTCAATGGAGTCCTTTGGTGTTAGAAGAAGCAAAGAAGGTTGTACTTGCAGAAATTAATAATTACGAATATACTTTTATTGGACGTATTCTACAACTTATTCCTGTTTCACCACAACCTGGTATGCTTGTTTTTTACGGGTTTTTAACCGGATTGGAATCTTTAATGATTTTGGCAGCTGCTGTAACCAGCAGTCTTTCACCATTTGCACCTAATCCATTAGAGCAAAAAAGGCGTAAACGTCAAACAGTGGTTCGTGCAATGGAAGAAACCGAAAATGTAATGCGAAATATGTGTTGTGGATTACGTAGTGATATTGTTGCTGTAATGAAGGCTGTATTAATGTTTCGTGTGTGTGTTAGCGAGAATGGAGAAGATCCTGCTACAATTGTGCGTCAATGGTGTCTTGATCACCACTTAAGTTATGATAAGTTAAAAGCCATACTTGATTTAGAACAACATATTAAGTATGAACTTGCTAATTTTATTCCTTTTCGTGATGTTGTTGACCCACAAGAACTTCTTGCGCAACTTGAGAAGGTAGCACCTATCGTGCTAGTCATGACAAATGTCGCCTTTGTTGCACAATCACTTGAGGTAACTACAGAAGGTAATACGTATACAAATTCAAAGGAAACGGCAGTCGGTCTCTTTACCGATATTGCAGCAGTACCTGATATTCACTCTCCAAGTTGTTTACGATGGCAAGAAGGTGATATTGTTATACCAGTGCAACTTTCCCTACTTGGTAATAGGATGATTGCAAGTTTTTCTACTGCCATTGCATCCCATAAGCAATTCTGGCTCTCTTTACTCCTTCTCACACATCGACTGCAGTACGCAACTTTTGCTGACGACGAAGGTGCTTTTCATGTTTTTTCTGTAAAGTACTACGGGACGGAACGTTATGTGGAGACAGATGCCTCAACAGGTTACGCCGTACTACACTTTCGTCAGCAGCTTAGTACTGTTTGTCAAACCCTTCGACTCCTGCATGATCATCAAGAAATGTACGATGATGAATTTGCAGAATTATTACAGAAGTATAAACTTAAACCACTGGAGGCAGCACAACGCGATGTTATTGTGGCTATTGCCGCATTTTTTAATAATACAGAGAGCATCACTGTGGATGAAGTGGAGCATGATGATGATGATCTTGACGAAGTCTCTATTATTAGCCTGGCCCTTCCAAAACTCAATCATGGATGACATACAAACACAAACACAAACATACACAAACGCAAAAAAAAAGAAAAGAAATCACGAAAACCAATAATAAGAAAAGTGCATACTCCATCTTACTGCAACTGGGTACATTTATTCTTTTGCCGTCTTGGTCTCCATTAATAATTGTTCATCACTACTGCTTCAGCTTCTTCGTTGGTCTATGCTTTATACAGTGTTGACTATCTGGAATGTTAACACCCTCATTTTTTTTTTCTCATAATATTTTTTTTGTAATATTTTTTCTGATGATTTATTGTTTCTGTAAAATTTTTTTTTTTGCTTTTTTTTTTTATCTTTCACTTTTTTTTTTTTGAAAAAAAAAAGAAGTTCTTTAATACATGGCTAAGGTTGTAAAATCACGTGCACAAAAAAGAAAACATGAAGATACGGGTCCTACTCTGAATACGGAGCGGCAGCTTGGTGAACATGATCTCTTTTTCAAGTGGCTACTCGGTATTACACAGCATGAATTCTTTCAGGAATACTTTGAACAAAAACCACTACACTTTTCTCATGGTTCTTCGACACACTTTAGAAACCCACCAAAGGGATTTCCCGCTGTAGAGTGGTCTACAGATGAAATGCTTAATCTCGCTTCAAAGAAAAGACTATCATACTCCACAGACCTTAACGTTGTTCGTTTTGATAATAAAATTAATAAACGTGTATCCTATCGTAACGATGGTCATATTACATCAGATGAGATGCGCTTATGTATGAAAAAGGGCTGGTCAATTCGTTTTCTCCGACCCCACGAACACGTCTCCAGTAACTCTGCTGTTATTTCAAAAATGGAGGACATTTTTTGCTGCTTCTGTGGCCTCAACAGTTATTGGACTCCTGCAAATAGTCAGGGTTTTGCACCCCATTATGATGATGTAGATGTCTTTCTGTTGCAGTTGGAGGGTGAGAAGGAGTGGAACTTATACACGGCGCCGTCAGAGGTGGATGTACTTAGCCGCTACTCCAGTGAAGACTACAATCCTAAAGACCTCCCACCGCCAATCATGACATTGCGGTTAGTACCAGGTGATGTGCTCTATATGCCGCGTGGTACTGTTCATCAAGGGCGTACTTTGGGTGAGAAACACTCGTTACATGTAACTTTCTCCGCAAATCAAATGAATACGTGGGCAGACCTTATTAAAATTGCAGTGACACATTCTCTGGAGAAACTGGCGACAAATGAAATTATATGGAGAAAGTCACTACCACGCACAACTTTAAAAACTTTGGGTGCTATTTATCATCCTGTTTTCCGTGAAGAAAATGGCTTACTACCACTGACTGAAAAGTATCAGAAACGAAGGCGTATATTACAATCTGTATTCCGAGAGAAAGTGGCTGAACTTTCTCTTCTTTTGTCTACTGAAGAAACTATAGATGAATGTTGCGACTTGTACGCAAAGGAAACAGTGACAAAGCTGCAGCCACCCCCTAAATCCACTATAAAAAACGATCATTCTATGAAGGAAATTACAGGTAAGACGATTGTGCGACTTGTTTCCTCTCAATATGCGCGCCTCATTTTTAGTGTTTCTGGTGAAGTACAACTTTATCACAGTGGCAAAAATTCTCCTATATGTCTTGCCGCACCAGTGGGACTCCTACGTTTTGAGGTCGATTTTGCCCCTGCACTCGCCACACTCTTGGCATCTGGTTCACGAGGTATACAAGTATCTACTTTACCTTTTCCAGCATTTGATAATGTGGATGATATTTACGAAAACCAATTGACTCTAGTAAAATCCCTGTATGATGCTAATATCATTACTATCCTGTAGTTGTCTAGTGTGTCACCAACTAGACGACGATAAATATTTAATATAACATAAGTAATATTATTATTATTATTATTATTATTATTATTATTATTATTATTATTATTATTATTATTATTATTTCTTTTTCTGTGATCATGTCTTTTTTTATTTCTATTCTACTTGTATCTGCTATAACACGCACACAATATTTTTTTTGTATTATTTACTTCTTTTTTTTTCTCTGGGGTGGAAGTGGTAGGGTTGGGAGAAATGTCACACTGGCGTCGTTGTGAGGCGCCGTGGGTCCAGTAAGATGACGTTATACGGTACGAGCCAGCTGCAGGCCAAGGAGATGGTCGACCTACTTAATGAGTACTACATGTTACTTCCACAAAACGCACGCGATGAATTGTGTATAGACATTATGAACATGAAAGTTGTACGCACTACTGTTGGCAA